TGCTTCTCGTTTGACTGCATAAATTCATAGAGCTATGGCCTCCACAGCATTTTACGAGACTGGTGGTATTTGTCATGCAGTGGCCGCTTAGACTGGGCCGCGGGGACTCGCTTCACCAATTGGCTCAATAGCATGACAACTGCACAGTTTCACACGGCCAACGAACGAGCCACCGCGACTGAAAGCGAGCCGGAAGAGAGTGCCACATCGGTCGAATGGAGCAATCACGAAATCAGATGAACAGATCCCAAACCACGATATCTATGGCTCGACATGATCTCCCCTTCAGACTGAATGGATCTGAATTGGCATTGCTGATGAGATACGTCCCACCACACTGGCGTGCTAGCCTGACCTCGTCCAATAACACCATTCAGATGTTTCTACATATACCGAAGAGTCTGTCACAGTCAGGCGGCAGGTCATCGTAACCATTCCGGCCGAAATTTGAGTACTGCACCAAGGGAAAGTAATTCGGTAGCCCATCGACCGGAACACAGAGCCATCGCACGGACACAGACGGGACGTTTTAAGTAGAAAACTTTTTTTATAAATTGCGTGCAGTTCCAACGTGTCAGACAGTCACCTTATTTGGGGGCATAAGATATGCCACCGGATAGTACTGGTCCTATTCTATGATTCTATTCTATTATATGGTTCTAGTACTGGTACTTCTCTTTACCGAACCGCCGCCTGCTAGTGCATGTCTGGACGGAATCAATCCCCTCCTACGTCTGCCAGAGAATCCCTGTCTCTTCACACACCCAGAGCACGGCCTAAGCACGCCGGAGCACGCCACTGTCCCGGGTCGGCGCGGCTCCGGCTCCGGTCGTCCGAGCGCGGTCTCCGGCCGTCTGAGCGCGTCTCGGGCAGCCCGCGTGCCGGTAGCTCATGCAACACACGGCCGGCAACTTGTGAGATCGGTCACGCACCTCGCCGAGCGATTGCGTGTCGGTTTCCTGTGCTGTTGCAGACACGCACGCGGCGACGCATGCTGTTGATGACAAAAGTTGAACGCCCTGGGTGGACCAACGGCAATGCTTGTGACGCAGCATTTGGTGATGGTGGATAAGTAGAGCGTGAACTGAATTCGGAGTCAATCAGCAACAGGTTGTCGTAGGTCGCTGCTAGGTCAGCTATCGCGAGTTCGCTCATAAAACCAGGCGATATGAACTGATCCAACGCTGCGGACGGTGCTGGTGAATCAGGACAAAACACATGGACAAACGCAATGGAGGGCGACCAGCGGATAAAGTCCACCGACGTAAAACGGCCCACTATCGGGTGACAAGTAGGCACATAGAGCAAGGAAAGCAAATAGCCTATCGATACTGGATAGCCAACTTCCCGCTATGGTCGCAGTAGCACCAGCCCAATAGCCTTTGTAGAGTGTAGTCATGCGTCGAACAAACCGACGCCTCGCAAACAATTTCCAATAAGCAGGATCATCTGACAAAACCATCGTTCCACAACAAAGACCCACACAATCAATCGGCTCAATCTTTTGCAGAATTCAAAGAAAGCCACTTAACCACTATGTGTAGCGAATTACCCTTCAACCACAGACGTCGTCTATCCTATCTTTTCGGACACAAATGTGGACTAGTTCCGACCCCACAATAAAGCGAGCACGCGGTCTCCACTCCTGAATACGTCTCAAGAATACCATCCGCTCCAGACCGTCTCCGAGACATCATCTCCCGAAGACCCCCCGGAATAAAGTCGACTTCGAACACCACTGAGCACATAGGGCGGCGACGGCGGCGGCGGAGACGGCATAACAGAACCGTCACTCAGCCCGCAGCATCCCAAACTGAAGGCGGCAGCGGCGGCGGCATCATTACTGGGCCATAACCGGCGCGGCGGTGGCGTGGAGCGGCGCGGCCCGGCGCCTCGCGGGTCTCCGGGGACCGAGTCGGACTGATAACGGCCGACAGACGGCCTGTCGGGAGCCGGGACCGAGCGGCGCGAGACGGGAGAGGCGACACGAGACGGAGAGGCGGGGAAGTGGGAAACGGAGACACCAGACGGCGCAGGGAGAGACGGTGATGTCAGAGGGGAGAGGTTAGAAAGGATGGGATGTAACAGAGAATAGAGGAGAGGCAATGCGAAATGGATATGAGAAGGACGTGGTGAAGAGTAAGTAATGCTCCTAATTTCTTCGATGAAAGCGATTCGAAAGTCGTAGCTCGCTATCGCGTCAGACTGATGTCATTATGACCTTTCAAATGCATCAAGCCTCCATTAAATCCTATCTTAAACATCAAAAGGCCGAGCCCATGGATGGAGGATGAGGCTGTGAAGGAGGCGATGGCGGCCCGTGATCTGGCCCGTGCCGACAGAGACTGCACCCCGTGTGAGGAGACCAGGGAAGAGTACCGTGTGCGCAGAAACGCTGTTAAGATGACAATAAACCGTGCGTGTTCCTCTTTCTACGAGACGTCTTTCCGGAACTCTCGGTCAAAGACCTGGAAGGACATTCGCCGTTTCCTGGTGTCCTCAAGCAAGTCGGTGGCGGCGGGAGTGGCAACACGGGATCCAGAGTGGGCGGACCGCCAAAACCGATTTTTTGCATCGGTCGGACCAAATGTTGCTGACGCCATGACCAACATGGACGTGGGAGAGATGCTGTCACCGCGCCCGCCTCGCGTGTGCAGTGGCTCGTTCAAGCCCCACCCCGTCACGCTTCCCGAGATCTCAGCAGCACTGCAACGGATGGGAGCATCGCGAGCGAGCGGTGAAGACGGCATCACCGTCCACATGTTACGGCTCACTTTCCCTGTGATCGGTCCCCAGCTGCTCAAGCTTGTAAACTGTTCTATTGTCAGCTGCGACCTGCCCATGCAATGGAAATCTGCCACTATAACCGCACTGCATAAAAAGGGTGATATTGGCGATCCGAACAATTACCGCCCAATATCTGTTCTCCCTACTGTGGCCAAACTTTGTGAAAGAGTTGTATGCACTCAATTGATGTCTTACCTGTCAGATCATCATATTCTATGTCCACAACAGTATGGTTTTCGACCCGGCTTGTCCACTGAGGCGGCCCTGCTTGACGCTGTCACGTTCGCAACCGATCAGATAGACAAAGGGATGGTGACGTCACTCGTCACCGCGGACACCTCCAAAGCTTTTGACAGCGTTGAGCATGGCCGCCTCCTGGACAAGCTGGGGTGGTACGGTATTTGTCCGGAATGGTTTTCTGCGTGGCTGTGTGACCGTACCCAGATCGTGCGTGGAGGGACCGATGTGCAGCCTGTGACGCACGGCGTAATACAGGGGTCCATTTTGGGCCCTGTCTTATTTTTGCTGCTAACAAACGACCTGCCCCAGCATATACCATTTGGAAAGCTAGTTATGTACGCTGACGACTCGCAGTTCCTTGATTCAGATTATTCTTCGAACATTCAGGCTTTGAAAAATCGCATTGAACGATCTCTTTCCGTGGCCCTAAAATGGTTCACTCAAAATCGTCTTAAAATCAACCCATCTAAAACTGAGTTTATATTACTGAGGTCCAGACGTCAAAACGTAGACATGGATCTGTCGATCAACTTCGGTGATGATGTGATTTCGCCATCTCATTCCGTCAAGGTGCTTGGTGTCGTCATCGACTCGTACTTGTCATGGGAGGACCACGTCTCGTCTATCGTTCGTCGCTGCTACTGTGTCTTAGTGGGTTTAGCAAGAGCGCGTCAGAAACTGCCGAAATGTACCAAACGGCTTTTAGTAGAAGCTCTCGTCTTCCCACATCTACAGTATTGCATTGCCGTCTGGGCCAACTGTAATTCATCCCAGAAAAGGCGCATCCAAAAAGTCATAAACTTTGGTGTTCGCATTGTTGCTGGTCTCAACCGTCGCGATCATGTCACGCCTATACGTCGCGAACTGGGGTGGTCCAGTGTTGACGAACTGATTGTCGAGCGTGATATTGCTGCCATGCGCCACCTGATCACTGCTCCGGCAGCGTCGGAGCTGCTGCGTGAGCGGGTCGTCCGCCGGTCTGATGTGTCGGCCCGGTGCACCCGGGCGACGGCGGGTGGTCAGCTTCACCTGCCCAAGGTCCGGACAGCGTTTGCCCGACGTGGCTTTTTCTACCGTGCAGCTAGCACTTGGAATAGCCACATGTGACTCAGTTTCATGTGATACATTGGTAGCGTACGGAGTCGACATTTTATGATGTAATAGGTATGATCTATTTTAACTGTTTTATTGCAGCATTGTGGTGTACTTTTGCATATTATGTAACTGACGTGGGTACCAGAAAATCCATCTTATGGAGGATCCGAATAAACTATCTGTATCTGTATCTGTATCTGTAAAAGCCCGGCGTAACCAGTAAGCAGAAAGCCACAACATCCCAACAGCACACCGCGTTACCCTGCGCAAGCCCGCCATCCGCACGCCGAACCGGGCCTGCCAGCAGCAGCAGCAGCGGCACTGCGGCCCCCGGGCACCTCCAATCGGCGGCAGAGGCGGCGGCGGCTGAGTAAACTGCCTCTGACGCCGCCGCCGGCCCATCACCAGTCGAGCCAGCCGCAGCGCACACACCCCGGCGGCACGCCGGTCCGCCGATCAAAGGACGGCTCCGGCCGGCCGCTCAGCCGCTGACAGCCAGTCGAATACGGGAACGGACCGCCGGCTCCACACAGCACTGATCGAAATTCCGAGCGGAGCAACAGACTACACGCCTGATTTGGCAGGTGGTCCAGACAATAGAAGAACAAAGTAGACCCAACTGCTGTAAGGATGACTGCAGAATAAATTCAAGGAGTGATGGTCGTTAGTGATGCATTCGAAACCAGTTTTCAGCGCCACTCAGAATCAGCGCGACAGGTAGATTGTCTATCATAAAAGCAAACAGTTGAATCAATGATTACGAACACTGCAAAACGGCCACCACTGATTGTCAGCTGGGTAGTTGTAATAGAAACGCTGAAATTGGTAACAACAAGTGCAACCAAACGCTATAAAAGGCAGTGCATTGTGGTACGTACCCAAAGGATCCAGTGAGCGCAGATCCAAGTCCCCGTTGCCGTATCGCGTCCTGAAGTGCTGCTGCTGGGGCGGCGGCTGCGGTGGTGGCTGCGGCACCGCCGGCGGCGGAGGCGGCGGCTGGTGCAGTTGCATTTGCTGCTGTTGCATTTGCTGCTGTTGCAGCTGCTGCTGCTGAAGTTGGTACTGCTGTTGCTGTAGCTGCTGATGTTTCAACTGCTGCTGCTGGATGTGATATTGCTGCTGCTTTTGTAGGTGTTCCTGGAGTAGTTTCTGTTGCTGCTGCTGCTCCTGTTGCTGCTGTAGCTGAAGCTGCTGCTGATGCTGGTGCTGCAGCTGCTCCTGTTGCTGCTGCAGCTGCAGCTGGAGTTGCTGCTGCTCCTGGTGCATCAGCCGCTGCTGCTGCTGCTGGCTGAGATACGACTCCACCTCCCTGTGGCGGGTCGGGGTGATGTTGTTCGCCACGCGGCCCTCCTCGGGCGTCACTCCCGGCGGCAGCGGAGGAGGAGCTGCCGGCTGTCTCCGCTCCCCCTCCAGCTGGCTCAGGTGGTGCCGGATCAGCGCCGCAGTAGCGTCCGCCGGCGCCATCACCGGCGGCGGGGCCGGCGGCGGGGGAGCGTCCTCCTCCCCGTCAGTCCTCTCGCCGTCCGACAGGCCGTCCTCCAGCACCGGCATGGCCGGGCAGAGCCGGCCGCTGGACGGCAGGCTGCCCTCGGACAGCTCAGACTCCACCTCGCCGGAGTCACACTCGGTCGTCTCCGGCGACAGCGTGAAGTTCCGGCTGGGCTCGGCGGCGGCCGGCGGCGCCCGCTCCACACTGCTCCGCTCCGCACTGGTCCCGGCACACTCAGAGCCCGACTGGGCGACGGCCGGCCGCGCCGCCAGCTCGGCAGGCCGGTCCGGCGCCGCCGCGACACCCGATAGCACCGCGGTCGGCGCCGCCGCCACCGAGACCGGCGTGACGGGCGCGGCGGCCGGCGGCACTGGCACAGAGTCCCCAGAGGCGAGCTCCGCCAGCGGCGGCGCCAGATCGGCCAACGAAAAGTCACCGGGCACCGGCGCACTCTGAGTCATTTCGCGCACCTCGGCCGGCCAAAAGTACTGTCCGGTCGGCTCGGCCTGCTCCACCACCTGTCTGTCGGGCCAGCGCGGCTCCTGGGCCGGCTCGCGCGGCGGCGCCGGCGACTCCTGCCACACGCGCTGCGGGAAGCCGGGCCGGCCGGCGGGCCGCACCACCGCCGGCTTGGGTCCGTACCGGCGCGGCGAGCCCTCGTAGTCGGCGATCGGCACGGAGCCGATCAGCCGCTGGGTGTCGGGCGGGCGCGGCGCCTCCTCCGGCGCGGCGCGGCCGTTGGTCTGCCGGGTGACGGCCACGGAGGGCACGGCGGGCGCCGGCGGCGCGCAGCTCACCTCGCCGATGCCGGCGCGGCCGTCCACCGGCGTGTCGCCCACGTCGAACCCGTCGCCGGCCATGCCGACCGAGCCGCCCAGCGTCGTCTCGCGGATGGGCTGGAAGCCGAGGATGGCCAGGTGCAGCGAGTTGGTGGCCTCGGCCGGCGGCGGCGGCGGCTCGGCCGGCAGTCGGCGCTCGGCGCGCGCGCCCGGCTGCGGCCGCCGCTTGCCGGGCCGGCTGCGGCTCTGGCAGAACAGCTCTCGACCGCCGGCCAGCTCGATGCGCGAGTCGCGCGCCGCGCTCGGCCGGCCGGAGCTCGAGTCGGAGTCGGCGTCACCGGGCGGCTCGCACGAGCCCCGGCGCACCACCTCGTCCATGACTCCGGCGGCGGCTCCGGCTCCGGGCGCGGGTCCGGGGAAGAGTGCGGCGCCGGGCGCGGATGCGTCGGCGGGCGGTTCGCTGAGGTCGATCAGGTCGCGGCTGCTCACATGGCCTCCGGGCGACAGCTGGCCGCGGCACTTGGGGAACAGGCGGCTGATGTCTTCCTCTCCGTAGCTGAGCAGATCAGCCATGCCGCGACATGTTGGCCCAAATACGGACACCTGCCAGGGCAGGGACACAGGTCAGACCAGGTCAGACACAGGCCAGAATCAAGAGAAGCATTCAGCGATGGCCGAGGAGGTCCAAAAAAAGACAGTGTGCATTGCAGTAATATACAACGCCAGTTCCGGCCGATGCGTCCGTATTATGAGGGCTATAAAATCAAATTTCACGATGCTGCGGCCAATAAATAATAAGGGGCTATTTTGAATTGGGTTGATTAAGCGAAATTACCGGATATCATAAATGGACGGCAGAAACATCAACTTTATGGCCGATAATGCACAAAATTAAGCCAATCTGAGCCATAATGACGCGATGGAAAAGGCTCGATTTCGCCAGTACAGGGACAGATTCAGGTCAAAGCCTATCGGCACCCGAAAAGGGTAGGGTCAGAAGCCATTAAGCCAATATTGAGTGTAAGTAGTGTAATCTGTTGTCTCGCAAGCGTCAGCGGCCAACGGTAATAATGTCGCGGTACAGTACCAAATGACTTCGTATAAAGGTTTTTCACAGTGCGTCACATTCCAGAATCCAGACACTATGCCGATCGCCACTACTCGTTTTCATGTTAAGCAGTAGCAGGAAAAAATATATATATGTAAGTAGTTTTACATCACCACCACACGCGAAGTAAAATTTAAATCGCATTACCTCAATCTAAAGCGAACATTTATCACAGGCAGGCAAGAGCATGGGCGTCGCCACCACTACGGACACTACGGACAGTGTCCGTACAAGTTTTGGAAGGTCCCAAAACTTGTACGGAATGTCCGTACAAGTTTCGACGACCGAAAGTGAGCTTTTTGCATCATATTCAAATTACAAATGCCGTAAAAGCATTATCAATATTGCTATTTTTCTTGAAAGTATTCAGGATGTTTTAGTTTTGACAAGGAAGGAAGCAGTCTTTATCACATTTATTTCGATGCACATCTACCAGCTCAATGACTTGTTCTCTTTCAAATGCATTTGTAGATTAGGTGCCGATCGATTCCAGATGATCACACAAGCTTAAAAGAATTCGCCTAACACTGCGGAGCAGTTGGCAGGGGACCTCCCCCTAGCCCTGACACTCTCCTTGTTGAGCAGCAAGAAATACGGAAGGGCAAAGTCAGCAGACTGCAACTGACTAGACCGGGTCGAACCGAACTGAACAGAGTAAGGTAAGGGTAAAGGGCAGGGATGTAAAAATCGAAGACAGGCCGGGGTTCATAGGCGGCGGAACGGGGAGGGCACCGGGGCACCGTGCCCCCCTTTGATTTTGGCATTTTAACATTAGCCCTATGGACGTTGCATGGAAAGAATGGGACCAAAAGTCGGCAGTGCCCCCCTTTAATTGAAGGTGTTCCGCCGCTACTGCCGGGGTTGCTAGGGAGAAAGGAGAATGAAGGGCATATAAGGATGGTTTTGAAGATCATGGACCGCTCACTCGTCAGGAAAAGAAGTGCACGACATGCAAGGGCATTGACGAATGGGAAGGGACTACCTAGCTGGGGCATCAGACAGAGAAGGCGCTGGGTCGGGCGGGGCACGGGAATCGACAGGGCGAAGGACAGGACAAAGATCAGGTAGGGATGGTGGAGTAGGGTAGGAGATATGCAGGGGATATAGGACATGGCATATGCAGGACAGGAAGCAGACAAAACCAGGCACAGGCAAGATAATGCACAGGATAGAGCAGATGCAGACATGTAAAACACTGGGCACATGAAATGACGGTAGGTATAAAGTACGAGACAGAGCACGCCTTTGCCATGGACAACAGGACAGGGGACAGCGCGGGGTACATGGAACAGAGCGCAGGAAGGACACCTACACAGGGAAGGACAGAGCTCAGATAGGCAAGGACTCAGGAATACAAGGGCCTGTGAGAAAGAAGACTATGTCCTTCAATATGGCCATGTGAAGAGATCAAATATCGCTCTAATGTGGGTCCCACAAATGTTGTTGTACAGCGCTATTAAACACCGCGTCGCGCGGCTTCGCTAGATAAGCCCGGACCGGAGCCGCCCCTGCGGTGCGTTGAGGCCCTCTAGTTTGTCCGCGCTGGGCTCGCCCGTGCGACCCGACCGCGGCCGCGGGGCATTGGCGGAGTCGGCCGGCTGGCCGGCTGTGCTCGGCGCGGCGGGGCATTCGGTGTGCGGCGGTGGTTAAATACAGACTGTGCGGACTTACGAGCAGTGTGAGTGAGTAAGGACCTCGGTAACAATGTCACATTCACGCTAATCAGAAACAAGTATAGGTATCATTATTTGGAGAACGCAAGTGTTTCCCATCGAGCGGGCCCAAGCGACGTGGAGCGATATTTTAATACGGGGAAACCGTAATCGGAAAGAATGAAGAAAAAACCGAAAGTGCTACTAACGTTAGTGAAAATGTTGTTCGTGCTGTTGTTCATGATGAGCACAAAGTTTGAAACTTCGAGTTAGAACTGTCAACTGACTGATGATTGATCTCAGCGATCGCTGGCCCGACATTCTCCAAGGCATGTCCTGGAGCCCTCAGAGGTCGACACAGGCTCTCAGAGTCAGGTGGGGCCCTCAAAATTCTACTAGGGACCTTTAGAGGCCGGACTGAGGCCCTCAGAGGCGCATGCAAGGCTAGGCACTCATAAGCAATGAATGGGTCCTTTCGAGGCAGGTTTGGGCTCCCGTGAGCTGTAATGGGGCATCAAGAACTGCATGGGAGTTAGAGAGCTCAGCTGCGTTGGACCCCTAAAAGTCGGCGTGGGCTCCTAAAGGTCGCCTGGAAGCTCGAGATATCTGTGTAGCGGTCTTCAAAGGTTTATATAGGCCCGCCCCTCGGTAGCCACTAGCCAGGGAGGGCCCTCAGAGGCCAACAAAGACTCGCAGGAGCTAACGCTGTATGTAAGGGCCTGAAGCCATTTAAAACACCCAGTCATCAGGAAATAGAAATTTTTCCTTTTCTTTTTGATGGGTCCATGGTTCAAGGAGCGCTTGCATATTTGCGATATGTGGATGTAGGAGGTTATGTAGACGTAGGATGTGTCTGCAAAAAGATATGTTTGATTCTCAGGTATTCCGGATTGGGATGCCAGAACACATCCTGTACCCTATTATACGAGATAAACAGGAGTGCTTATCTACCTGCGCAAGCATTTCCTCATTCTACTGCATTTCGATAAGACAATTTACTCGTTACGTTAAAAGTGTCCCATTCATGATTCAAATTTGATTTAGGCTATTCAAATTCAAATTTGATCTCTCGTTGAATACACCATGCAAAACGCATAACGTTTGGTACACTGTAGTGAGATAACAGTATTGTTTATGGGGTTAACACTTCTGACGAATGAGACAACCGACATAATGTGTCCGTACAAGTTGGGGAGCCGTGGCGACGCCCCTGGGCAAGAGCATTGTTTGTCCCGCCCAGACAGCCATCCCGAGAAGCTTTTTGATACGGGACCCTAATGAAAGGCACTCCAGACAGTTTAATCATATTGTCGCAAAAGAGAAAATTCAAGACCAGCCAGACGAAATGGAAGATGAACATAAATTGCATGTAATAAGACGCTGCAGCGAGAGCCACGAGCAAGACGTCAACATCGTCTTTCATCGGGCACCGTGCCTCCCGGATGGAAATAGATACGGAGACGGCATATTTGTCGTCCGGGCCGTGCAGAAGCGAGAGAGCTGTAAAAGGTGCTCCAGGTACCGCAGATGGTCCCAAATGGCACAATGCAGGTGTCACGGTGGGCGGATCACCACTGTTTAGAGATGTAAAAATCCGCCTTCCTGGCGTCCAGGTACGGTAGTGTTGTCTAACCACGCGAGAGGAATGACTCAACAGAAGTTCAAACTAACTTGCATCCGTGGTTCGAAACACAATGCACATCCCCGTAAAAAAATCAAATTAAAGAACACCCATGATAACCAAACAAGACGATAAGAAAAAAAAACAGGGAACTGCTGAAGGGCCACAAAGTATACAGACTGGATCCCATTCCCATTAACTACCCTGAACTTATGACCACTGCAAAAACTTGGCGGCATTATCCCATTAAGAACTGTGCAAACGCCCACTGGAGCGGGGAAGCCTGAACCAACAAAGTTCGTTTGTTCTTCCGGTCCAGAGCCGACACTCGGCTGTTAAAATCGTCCTCCTTTCAGGTCTCCAGAACCGAGGCCAGTGACCTGGTGGGTGTCACCCCCCCCCCCCCCCTCCGAGCAGCCCCAACCACCCAGGGTGTCACTCGCAGGCCTCACCAATATCCCCGGCGGTAGCAGTCGCGGAAAGGACACCTGGCGGCGGCGGCATGGTCAGAGCCAGCGCCGATCAGCCTCTCTCTCCTCCAGCCTGCCACCCACACCGACAGCAGGGACTGCTGAGGCAGGAGCAGCAGCGGCAGGGACTGCCGGTACAGGAGCGGCGCCCGCCACCGGCCACTGCAGCTGACCGGGGCGCGGCGGCACCGGTCCGTCGCCGGGGCAACAGCGGCGCCGGGGACACAACAGACCGGCCAACAGCAGGCGGGGCCGCCGGCCGGTCGGGTCGGGTCGGGTGAGCCACGCGCTGTCCGCGCTGCAATCAATATCGCCGGCCGTAACCGGAGGCGAGCGGAGGTCGGCCGCCCCCGCCCGCGCGGCTCCGGTCCGCTCATCAGGTACTGACGATGAGCAGCTGGTCATGTTACCGCCGGGACCGCCGAGCCGTACCAAACTTAGCGTCGTGACGTGTCGGAGCTCTGAGATGGCCGGCTGGGTCCGGACGTCAGATGCAGCGACAGATGGCGACCAGAGCTGGGCGGGGCGGGTTCGGCCCACACTGCAGCCGAGCATGTCACACGGGAGCGCTTACACGACCGGTCCTGTGTCAATCCTGCCAGCCAGCTGCCCACTCCAAGGAGCTTGTTCAGCGCGATCCCGAAGCAGTCCGCCACTGTTCGCAGATCGAACGTACTTCAGACTCTCTGGGGGCCACCAAACTCGCCTCGGTCGCTCTCCACCTTCCAGCGGCTCGCTCCTTCAATCCCCGC